TGACAACCTGGCCACGGGGCTGAGATGCCCTCACTGAGGGCACACTCACACTACCACTTCCAAGAATGTATACAACTGCAATCACGGCGAGAGCTTTGTTTCCTTTTCTTGTTTTGTGAGTTTCACGGCCACAACTTTCTTCTTCTTCTTCTTCTTCTTTTTTTTTTTTTTTTGTTCTTCCCGTGAGAGTACCATAAAGAAATGGAGTGGGACCCAGGCTCGGCAAACTCGGAGCGCACTGAAATTCAGGGTCGGCAAAAACAGGCTCGGAGGTACTAGTGGTTTGTGGAATCCGACAGATCTCAGCAAGTGCAGTCGAATGCCACAATCAGAAGAGGAAAAAAAGGGGGGAAGACTTCGGAAAAAGTCATTTCGACATTTTCTGGGGGCGTCCTTGTTTTGCTGGTTCACCCCCCCTGGACCCTTCTGGGCCCGGTTGGACCATGCCAGGTGATCCGCTCCGCTCAGTTCCCGGCCCAGACTTGCCCTGAACCCTATTCTGCCTCTATGCCCCTTTACAATTACTAAATAATAATAAATATTATATTACCTTCCCTTCAATCCTCTCTTTCCTCTTCTGTATGTTTCTGCTGCTGGGATGCTGCTGACAATTTCCAGTGCAATCTGAGACTGGCTCCTTCTCCGATTGCGCTAACTTGCCCCTGCCCAAGGTCCCTTGCTCGAATCTGTTTCTTATTTCTTTTGCCCCCCTTGGTTGGGTTCTCTGCCATCGTTTTCCTTATCTTTTTCCATTGCGCTTGGATGTCAGTCTCCAGTAGATTGTTGAGCATTTCGTGCGACTCGTGCAATTCAATGTGCATTGGCTTCCTTTTTTTTTTTTTTTTTTTCTTCCTGTCTATCGTTTGCTGGCATCTCCTCCTCCACATTGTCCGCAATGCATAATGTCTCAGCCGGTGAAAAGTCCTCCTTCCGTACCCTCGCCAGGTGCTTGGCGTTTCTATTCCCAGCCGTAAGGTCGCGGTGTCTTCAGGGAAAGGCGGCATCTGTGGCTTTGGCCCAGAGCTCTTTTGCAATCTGGTGACATTCTAACAAACAGTGTACACACACTTACATTCATTCATTTATGCATGGTGAAAAAGAAGAAAAAAAAAATGCAAGTTCTTAGGGACATCCGTAAAAATTGGAACGATACAGAGAAGGGTAAGTTTAGCAAATGGCCCCTGCGCTTTCAAGGATGACACGCATAAATCGAGAAATGGTCCAAAAAAAACTGCAAGAGGTCTGCAGAAGAGTCTGACAGACGGGTGGTTTGAAATTTAAACCGCTGTTCCCTTTCCTGTGCAAGTTAACCTGCCGACGAAGCGCAGATGTAGAAGAGCTACCGGATGGTAAAGGCGAATGCAGCAACGGGATTCCCTTTCCCGAGGAAGCGCAGGTTCAGGACTACCGGAAGGTGAAGGCTGGCGCAACAAGGCGAATCCAGCACGACGCCTGTTCGGAAGGTAGGGATTCGTGTGCAGGAGAAATCCTCCAAGTCACAGGGAAAAAGAGGCGCAGAGAGACTGGTGCCGTCAAGCCTCACGGAGCAAGGTACTTATGTGTTCTGTCTGCAGGGAGATACAACGAGTACTAAGTGCAAGTTGAGGGGCGCTCGTAGGTAGTCTTCAGGGGGGGACAAAAACAAGAAAAAGATTCGGACTTCGGCGAAAAGAAGAAGAAGAAAAAGAAAAAGAACACCTACATATGTTGGATTGGGGAATGGCGGTGGGGTGGGGCTGTCTCTTATACACATCTAGATGTGTATAAGAGACAGGTAATGGTCTGTCCCCGAAGAAATCGGGGGTGGGACCCAGGGGGGGCGAGTCCCATAAATCTTAGTTTTCTTTTGCCCGAGCGCTTTCAACCACTAGTACCTTTGTCGGTTCGAAAATACTCGGCCTCCGACCTTTCAGGAGGCCGAAACAAAACGACGGCCGCCGATCAGATTGATCAACGCTGGGCTCGGCCTCCTGAAAGTCCGGGAGCTGGCAAGTACTTGTCGAAACCGGACGCCAAAGGTACTAGTGCTTGAAAGGAAAAGGGGAAAAAAAAGAAGTTTCTGTACTGCAATGATGTCGGGCAGGGTAGTCTAGGAGGCCGTGCTCACAGTCTTCCTCTACAGAATGCATCTTACAGCAAAGACGGTCATATTCCGAAACTTGTTCTTTTCTTTTTTTTATTTCTCGTTTGTTTGTTATGAGTCCCCTGCAAACAAGGCAGGGCAGAATCCGTGATCTGCGCTGGCTGTGTTTCCTCAGAGGATTGTAACCCTGATGTATCCAGCCATTTTCACGGCCGAATCCGTGTTTCCGTTTCTTTTTTTTGTTTTGTTTTATGTTTCTGGAATCTGACAATCTGAATCCGTGATCTGCTCGAGCTGTGTTTCCTCAGAGGATTGTAACCCTCATCACACTGGCACTGAGAGGAACGTATCCAGCCATTTTCACGGCCGAATCCGTGGTTCTTTTTTTTTTTTTTTTTTTTT